GTCCTTCGCCATTGCTGCGCCGCTGAGGGGGAGCGGTCGCCGCCGCCTTCAGCGCTGAGGCCGGACAGACCTTCCGCTGCCTCAGGGCTGGGGAGGACCGGCAGGGAGATGCTTTCCCTGCTTTCTTAAGAAAAAACACAAAAAAACCCGAAACAAAAACGATTGGAGAAGATCTCTGAGATGATAGAGTGCAACCCATGACCCAACACCACGGTCTCAGCCGGACCAGCGCACCGAGTGCCATGTCCAGTCTTTCCGTAAACACCTTCATGGATGGTGATGTCCCCACTTTCCTGGGCAGCCTGTTCCAATGTCTAACCACTCCTTACCAGGAAGAAGTTTGTCCCTAGTCCAACCCAAACCTCTCCTGGTGCTGCTGGAGCCTATATCCCCTTGTCCTATCTCTGGTTGCCTGGGTGAAAAACCCGACCCCACCTGGCTACAGCCTCCCGTGGTTGTGCTTGTATATTGATAATGTCCCCACTGAGCTTCCACAGCTATTCCTCATCAGACTTGTGTTCCAGAACCTCCATGTCATGGAGTCTTGCATTTTGTAACAGGAGTCTTGTATTGTAAGGAGTATTTTTATTTTTTTTTTGACCCATCTAAGAGGAAAATCCAAAGTGGAGCAAAGCACAAAAAGCACATTAGGAAAGAGCCACACACAGAGAACAGGACCAGTTCCTTCAACATAACCATATTTAAAACCAGATGTGGTTATTAAGAGGAGTCTTGTATTTCTTTCAGTCCCAACTGGGAGGAAAGTCCACAGAAGAGACTTTGACTTTCCAGAGGTCACAGAGTGTAGTTAAAGAGGGGTGCAGTGGCTGTTTCCTAGGGCCTCACAGATACCTGAGGAACTGCCTCAACTGCACAGCTGATTTCCACACAGGAAATTTCAAACAGGAGCTGAACCTGTGAATTTTGGGACACACATCAGCATGTGCTCTCAAAAAATCTCCTTGTTTCAAAAGTTAGCAACCAAACACATCTTCAGGCCATGGTGGAGTCAGGACCCAGTGGTTGAATAAAAGATCAGACAAAGCTAGCATGTTGCAGCTTTGGAGGTGTTAAACATGCTGGGGTGCTTTTGATAAGACACCAACTGGAATCCAAAACCAGACCTGAGCTGCCTTTTGCTGTTGCTGCTTAAAAACCACCTGCCTTTTCAGCAGCTGGAGACCATCTTTGCCAGTCCTACGTCAGCCAAGCAATAAACACAAAGTAGGAAAGGTTTCTGGAGCACTTCCAAAGAATATACACTGTACAAATTTATTAATTACACCCCATTTCCACCCAACTTTTCTCTGCCTTTAGCACTTTCCATCCATCACTTCCCTGGTGACCTGCTGACACGGCACCCGGCACAGCACAGAAAGCAGGCAGCTGGTGCTCCTGCCCTCCCTGCCTGTAATATCCTGACTCCGGGTGGACCACAAGTCTCCAATAAGATAGGAATCTGTGAAAAAACAAGATCAGCACCTCCCCAGATGTCTTCCCAGCTCTGTCCAGCCACTCCTCCACACCCGGGACTGGAATCCCTGAGCTCAGCCTGTCCTGCTTTCTGTCCTGTCACACCTGCTAGCTGTGTCTTTCTGTAGTGTAATTTCTAACCAGGTACTGATTGCTTTAACACAGTTGGTGATTTTAAAAGTGTTTCTTCCACGGGTTTCTGCAGATGTCAACACAGGCTGAGCAGAATAAAAAGAGAAAGCTCCTATGTTTGCTCTGCCATGCTCCTGCTGTGGAAAACTAGGGAGGTATTTAGGTACAAACTCTTTCGGCAATTTAGATTCAACAGCTCTAACTCTGTGATGGCTCTCATATTATTATCATATTATTCCATTCAGGAAAGCTGTGACCGGTTACTTTCCCTCCTTGCTAAAATGTGACCTTAGAGAGAGGGGGACTGCTGCCAATGTCCCTTCACAGTGCCAGCCAAAGGGCTTCTGGAGAGCAGAGCAGTGTGAGATGGTACTCACCCAGATGTTCACAACACCCCCTCCAACCACCTCCGAGTAAGCCACTGGTTTCACCAGCAAAGGTTTTTCACCCGGGTCTCTATTTGGGCCACTCTCACCTTTTGATGTCTTTAGGGCCACATACCTGACTTTTAGTTACTTTTAGGTTGCTTTCCAACAGCTTTGCAGAAACTTATATACTAAAAATCACCAGGGTGCTTCTGATTGTATTTCATTTCCAAAAGCAGGAAGATGCAAATGGAATGTTCTCCTGGGGTCCAGGTCTAACTTTCCTTCCCATCTCCACAGCTGTGCATGATGAGAGCAGTGCAGCTGGAAACAGCTTGCTCACTTCACTGTCCATTATGCCTGACAAGCCTGTGATGAACTTGAAACGAGCCTCCTTGATGTGACACCTCCCCTTCTTTCCTCCCCTCCCTGCTTTTCCTGCCTGCAGCAATAAATTTGAGCACGCACTCGTTCTACTCCCCAGGCAGCTGCATGCTCCTCGGCACAGATGAGGATGGAGAAGAGGTCTCGGAGCTCTTCCAGGGAGTCTCATAGAAGACGTAGAGAGTCCCCGGCTGTGCAGAGCAAACGAGAGAAGAGAGAGAGCAGCAGAGAAGCTGGCAAAGGAAAGGGAGATGTAAAGCAGGAGAAAGCCAAGGAGACCAAGAGCACCGCGGGGAGTGATGGAAGGGTGCACACCTCCACAGTGGTGGACGTGGATGATGTGGTGTCTGATGAAGAAATGGAGGCAATGGCATTGCTGGATAGTGAGCAGCAAGAGGAAGGTACGGCTTAAAGAAGGGAAGGGGTTGGAAAACTGTGGGCTCTTTTATGCTGCATGGGTCACAATGTGACTCTTGCTCTCTGCATGGTGTCATCACACCCACCTTGCACAGGTGGTTATCCTCAGGATAGGATGCGGGAGACTCAAGCTGGCCTCCCAGCCAGCTTCTGCAGGCTTATTAGCACCATCCAGCAAAGCACTGAACCTGGATACAAGCAGTTACATTCCCAACATCCTTCGTGCTTCTGCTTGCTGCTCCCCAGTTCTGTTCATGCTCTGCTCTTCCTTTTCTTGCTTGGCCTCCTTTAGGTGGCCTTTAGGCATTAGCCTTACTGCCAGTTCATAGCCCAGAGGACCTCGCTGCAGGGAAGAACTGCCCTAGAGGTGCACACTTGCTGCTCACCTGCTGGGCAACCTTTAAGAGCAGCTCCTCTTCACATGTTTGTCACATTCCCAGCCTGCTACAGCATCGGGATCATTTTGGTAATACAACTGGGCCTGTTTGGACCCAGCATCACCACAGGCATGGCAGATGTGTATTACAAGAGCCAGAACTACTTGTGCCCTTCCCAGAGTGACAGAAAGGTTCAGACTTGCTCCTGACTCCCTGGGAACTAGCTCTTCACAGCCTCATCTTTCTGCCTCCATTACAGGAATTACAGCTATCAGGCAGTGCTTAGGCACTCTAGTGACTACACAAATTCTTGGGATCTGAAGCTCCCTCAAGACTTGATGATTCTGCAAAGTATTTAAAAGGCAGAGAGGCAGGGATGGAAGGGTTGGAAGCGATTAAAAATGGGAGGGATGCTAATTTCACAGCTGGAAATCCTGATCCTCTCTCTGGCTCCATCTGTTTTCATGCCAGATCTGCCAATTTTTCCCTCAGACAGGAGCACAACAAAGGGCAGCCAGAGCAAGATGACCCACACTCACTCTGGGGAGATGTAGAAAGCAATAATATCTGGGCTGACCACCCCAGTCAGCCTCTAACACCTTGGGGTGACTTCTTAGAACACAGGAAGATTTTACTGGCAGCAGAGGCTCCATCCCACTGCATTATGGAGCTGGGATGCAACTAAAATCCTATTCCAAAACAACCTGAAATACTCTGATATAAAAGGACACTTCAGGCTGTACATGTTTAAAGTTCTCTCTTATTTACGATCTTTATCTTTAGCTTAACTTTCCAGATAAACTTCAGGGACCCCAGCTCATCAAAGCTGCCCATTCCAAGCCTTTCAACCCTGCTTGGTAGCCCCAATTCTTCAAGATAAAGTCTGCTCTCCAGTCAAGCAGCCATGGAGAAGCATGGCTCAATTATTGTCAGTGAAGCAGAGACAAAATCTATGCATCCATCCTTGCAGCTCCCGGCAATCTGGAGCAGGGAGTGTTCCTTAACTCATCTCCAGAGAGAGCCAAGTGGTTCATTTACAATGAGTCCAGGCAAAGGACTACAGTGAAGCTGATGTGTACAGGCACTTGTCAGGCTATCAGTATTTTGGGAGCAGTTCTCTTCTAACACAGTCCTGTTGGGTTTCTCCCTAGGTGTAAAGTCTCCTGGTCTGGGTGTCTGTGAGTGGCTTTTGACCATCTTGTCTTTCCTGTTCATCATAATGACCTTCCCCATTTCTGTCTGGTTCTGCATGAAGGTGAGAATAGCCATGGGATCTCTCAGGATTTGGTGTCTGATCTGGATGTCATACACTGATTCAGCATGTGTTGGACATGAGCATAAAGGTTTTTTGGTATAAGGCCCCTATTTATACACCTTCAACTCATCATTAATTCTGATTTATCCTTTATTGCATGCTGCTACAGCACAGGGGTCCAACCATTGCCTGTCAAATATTCCTGCTGAAATACCAGCAGGAAGGAACTAAGGTTTCTCCTTTTTAAAACAGATTGCAGGTCTGTTCACTTTCAGACACGTCCCTCAGCCTACATAGCCCAGACATGGCTGCATTACAGCAGCAGGGTAAATAGGCTTAAATTCAAAATTTTTAGAGAG